AAATAGTAGGGGCCTGACTTCCCACTGAATTACCCAAAAAAAAAAAATCAATGTGAACTTTTTATTTAAGTAGGTGATAATTTATTAGAGCAAAACATTTATATAAGCATCAATCTTATGATATAGAAATAAGGTGGACCTCAAAACTCATTGGACAATGATTGTTCTCACATAAAAAAACTCCCCAATTAATTATCTCGACCTCAAGTTTTATCGATGTGAAAAATAATGTGATTGTCGACTCTTGGAAATGCTATGTCCTGCAATGTATTATTTGGAACATTAACTTTTAAATATATGTAAATTTGTTTGATCCACACTATTATCAAGGCTTTAAATTTCATAATTAAATATAAAAACATAGTTCTAACACATAGAAACTGTATCTTTCAACATCATTTAGAAGTGCACCTTGTTTAAGGCGCCAACATTATATTCTTCATGGTGTTGGCCCGTCTTTACTACTGAATGTTGTCAGCATTGAATACTTGGACACATTTCTCCGTTAAAAGTTTGTCAAATATTCCCAACGGACTGCAAATCAAGAAAATTGACACCTTTGCAACCATTCCTTGTTGATATCTAATGGATGGGAAAGATGTAGCATACTGTACAAAATGCAAGTGCTAGCGTATAACTTTTATAATGGGTGCAGTTTGTATAGAGCTTAGGCTTTAAAGAATCAAATTAGAGCCTAGCTTCAAATAGTGTCAAGAAATATGGTTTCAATACTGAAAATATTTGTGATAGCCTTCAAATATATGTTCATATTTATTTATAAAGTTTAAAGCTTAACAAATAGTATAAATCGACAGATCTATGAAAACGTGAAAATTGACGGTCCAAAAAATGTGTTACAAAATATACTATTTTCAAAACTTGAAATCTATTTTTTTCTAATGTTCATGCATATTGATGTCGGGATGATCAATTTGAGAATATTTGGGCATCAAAATAGCTTATTTTAATGAAAATTTTGAGGTAGGCTCTAATTTGATTGTTTAGAGCCTCGGCTCTATATAAACTTTGTTTTTTTAGAATAGTTAATATTTAATAGCTTACACGTACAGAAATGCGGGGATAGCTCAGTTGGGAGAGCGTCAGACTGAAGATCTGAAGGTCGCGTGTTCGATCCACGCTCACCGCATTTTTTAGGATAGGTATCTTATGCTCCCGCGGAAGTACTTTGCACTCTTACTCCCTCAATCACAACCCTAAATCTTGGGAACCACACAAAAATCACCACACTTCTAAAGAAATTTGAATTGCTTTAGTTATTTAATTTTGGACATATATGCTATGCTCACTTTCTACTCTTACTAAGAAATTTGACTTGCTTAAGTTATTTAATTTTGGACATATATATTATGCTCACTTTGTACTCTTTCTAAAAAATTTGACTTGCTTCAGTTATTTAATTTTGGACATATATATTATGCTCACTTTGTACTCTTACTAAGAAATTTGACTTGCTACAGTTATTTATTTTTGGACATATATATTATGCTCCCGTGTGAGTACTTTGTACTCTTACTCCCTCTGCCAGGACACTAAATTTTGGGAACCACACAAAAATCACCACACGGTTTTGTTCAACAGAAAATGTTCAGAATCTTGAGTGATATAATACTTTGATTTCACCCTTCCAGCTCTTGCGGGAGTATTTTGTTTACTCCCTCGTTCAGCAGATTTATTTAGACAAAAATAATATTTTGATTCGAAAGTTTGGGAACCACGTGATTATGTTCAAATGAAGTTTCCAATTTCAAGTAGTATAATACTATGATCTCACATTCTCACCCTTCAAAAATTATTATACTCCCAAGCGAGTATTTTGTAGTGGAATTTTTTTTTTTTTGTGAAGTTTTGGGAATCACATAGAAATTACTAAATAATTATATTCAAAATAAAAACTTTTACTTCTTTTTTAGTAGGACCGAGTTTCTATACGGCCAAACCCGTATATGTAGAAATGCAATCCTCGTAATAAATCTATTATTTAGATGGATTTTAAGACTTAACTTTTAAATACATGTAATCTCTAACTTGGAGATCATGAATATGAATAAATAAATAACTTTTAACGACTAGAAATAATAATTCTAGTAATAAAACATATGGATTGTTAGTTTCCATTGTTTTTAGATGGAACACCAACTTGCATCTATCTTTTAAAATGGATACTTTACACTTTTTTAACTGCATATGTAGAAATGCAGCCCAGCCCGCATGAAACAAATTTCCTTTGGAGTAATATACTATAACACCCTTGAGGCTCCCACTTTAGTGTTTGGAACATTTACTCCCAAAATATTTTTTTGAAAAAATATTTTGACCCAAAATTATGGGAACCACAAAAATATAACTAGATAACAATGTTCAAAATAAAAGTTTCGAATTTTGAGTAGCACAACATTCGACCTCGCCCTTCAAAATTTGGCCCGTTTCTTCTCAATCTTGTGGCAACTTTTTTTGTATGTTCAAAAGTAAAAGTTTAGAATTTTGAGTAATAAAACGCTCTGATCTCATCCTTCAAGCACCCGGGAGTATTATGTAGA